CGAGCGGCAGGTTGGGCACGGCACCCGCCAGCTTTTTGTTTTCTCCTTCTCTACTTACTAATTAACTCCTTTTGGAGTTTTCTCAGCTGGTGCATCGTTCTGCAGCGTCCCCTAACACCAGGGCACAGTTCAGAGAGCCAGGACCGGGTCAGGCCACCTCCCTCCTTCGGAACGATCCTTTACGGTCAACCAGAACCTTGTTTGGACTTAAAATCAAAGCTACACGCCACTGTTTACAAAGTGTGGATTCAGCTGTTCCTTGTGCTTAAGGGAATTTTGTTTTTCCCAAGTAAAACAGTAATTTGACCACTGATGCAACGCAGAGCAAAATACAAGAATGACTCCTCCTTCCTCAAGTAACAGAAAGCAAGAAAAACTTTTGAAGCTGTAAAGTCCATCCTTCCCATGTTTATTATGCTGGATTTGCAGGATTTTTCTTGCCAAATTCTCTGTATTTTCAAACATCTGATGTCCTTCCAGGGCAGTTCACACTCCCTACGACTCAGGGCCATTTCGGTAGCTCTGCTGACCTGCCCTGGGAAATACTCAGGTTCAGGTTCCTTCTCCTCCTGCCAGAGGCACTCTGAGCTTCACAGAAGGACGAAGTCACAACTCATCACACACAATACGGCCTGGGCCGGGGGATGTAAAACCCCACCTTATTTAGCATAAGCCCAATTCTACCACCCACCTGACACCAGCCCAGGAAGAGCTGCCCTGTCTTGTGCTGGTAAAAGCATTTATGTATTTGTCTGTATAATTAACGGGATTGAACCGGGAAAACCCACGGAAAAAAGTGACTTTAAACGTGAGTCATTTCCCGGATCTTGTTCACTCTGCAACCCATTGATGTTTGTGAGGGTACAAGCGTGTGTGACAGAGAGAGAGGACAGAGACAGAGACAGGAGCGAGACTGCTTCGTCTGCAGCAGCGATGGTGGAGAGAACACACGGAATTACACCCTGAACCGCAGCCGTTTAGTTCCCCTCTGCCTCTCAGGGCTTTTACTACTTTTGAAATCTTTCTGCAGAATCACGGAGTGGTTGAGGTTGGAAGGAACCTCTGGAGATTGTCTAATCCACCTCCCTGCTCAAAGCAGGGGCAGCTCGAGCAGGTTGCTCAGGACCGTGTCTGTTCAGGTTTGGAGTTCTCTCCAAGGATGGAGACTCTGCCACCTCCCTGGGCAACCCGCTGGGGCGTGCAATCGCCCGTTTGCTCCAGCCTGTGCAAAACTCATTCCAGTGTAAGAGCAAGTAACACAGGAAAGAAGAAACAAAGCATCAGCTTCTGATGGCCACTTTGTCCAGCTGCAAAGGGACGTTACAAAGCGCGTGGTGTAAAGATCCCCACTGGCTCTGACTGGGAAGGTGTGCATGGCAAGAAGCGACTTCTAGTTTCCCTCGCCACTGCCAGAGCACGTTAACCCGCAGGATGGTGACAGCATCTCCTAGAGCAGCTCATCAACCGGGCGAAGGAAGAGCCTCTGCGATCTCTCAGTGAGGCAGGGGAGATCAGACCTGGGCCGAGGCAGAGCCTGGTGAGGACTGGACACTGCACAGGGATCAGAGAGCTGGGAACAGGACAGGAGGAGAGAAATGGCACGTGGAAAACAAGGAGGCAAGTCATCGGGGGAGTAACTTCTCAACTGCTCTGCCTTCCACACCCCCGCCGTCTCAGATTCCCTGCCGGCCTCATCTGTGAGATTCCTCCCCACGACTGGCAGAAGGTTTCTTAGCTCAAGGGGAGCCCACACAGTACCTCAAGAGAGGTCAAGAAACTATCAGGAGCTACAGAAAAAGCACCTGAAGTCAAACACACTTCACGTTCCGCTGCCAGGCTGCAGCCAGGCTGCCCCGTGAGCAGGCAACAGGCACGGTTTTCACAGGAAAACTAATTCCGATTGCAACAGCCCAGAGCCTGTCGGAAAAGCCAAGCAGGACACTTGTCAGCCTTCACCGCTGACTTACAACCGCAACAGGGGCTGGTATGAAAAGGATGAGTTAGCCTAGGGATGTGGAGATTTCTTCCTTAGCAGGCTGACAAGGTGGCACATCCTGGTGATTGGTTTCTTCCTAAAATACATACCCCAGAAACAGGCCTGAGAAGCATCCTGGGCTGGCTGCACAGTAAAATTGGGAAAAAAAAAAAAAAAAGAAATCAGATTGTCAGAATTGTCTGCCTACATCAAGAGAAGCTGGGCTTTTGTACACGGCTTGGTTCTCCTCTGCTTTTGAATATTCTGCATCCTGGCATCGCTTTGCACATCGAAACTTGTTCTCATCAGCACCAGCAGCACAGAAAGAGTAAAAGAAGCGACTCTGCACAAGCTTCCAGGTGGCAACTGCAGGCAGGAAACAGGCTCGCGAAGAAGAGACCCTGCCTGGTAACACACCCAGCAACCAAAAACGTTCAGTGCAGTAACGCAGCTTTTGTCAAGCAGCTGCAAATAAATATTTATTAGTTAAGGGCAGTAAGCAGAGAGTAAATTTAGGGCACAAAATGCACGACGGTGAAGAGGGTAAATCACTGCAGGCTCTAACCTGACTCCCAGGGCTTCCTCTGTAAGTTGCGTATGAAGTGTGAAGACATTCAACACCCCTTAATGTGACACTGCGTGTGCCATTCAAAACAGGACATTTGCCACCCACAGCAGTTGCATTCCTCATGGTATTGGAGGTATTTCCCAGACTAAGTGCAAGGAAGACCGCAAATACCGCGCTAAAGGACAAGGTTGTGGCATGGTAAACTTCCCTTTTTCTTTTCCTTTCTTTTAAACTGGATGAAAAGCTAGACCACAAAATTTGAGGATGGGAAAAAGAAAACCCCGTTATTTTTGGCATTGTTCAAGTTTAAAAGAGCTGCAAGTATTTAGCTATTTGTTAAGAATTCTCACTTCACCCTCAAGCTGAGGAGAATTTTGAGACAGAAATAAGAGCGGGATCTTCCAAACATCAGCTGCAGGTGCTCAGCTCTCACCAGTCCCCAACACAGCTGGACTAGAGACTCGTGGAAGCCCAGAGACTGGCAGCACGCCCCCATCCAGTCCCACACTTCTGTTTAGCGATCAAGTCCATTTCCCCACCCCTGCCCACGTGGGGAATGTTGTTTTGACATTCCTACCTGGGAACGAAAACCTCATTGTGAAGGTAGTTCTCAAATGTCTTGCGGAAAGCAGATTCTTCCAGCTCCTTTTGTATTTGAGAGTCTGTTTTAGGACACGAACAACATTCTCCACTGACTTCCTCATTTTCACTTTGATTATACTTCTGAGGGTCTTCAGATTCAAAAGGAGGAGACCACGTCCTTGAGGGCAGTTTTAATCCTACGGACAAAACAATTTTAATATCACTTATGCTCAACACGGAAGAAGCAGAGATTTGATCCGACAAAGATCCAAAACTGGTGTACACGAGATCTGTAACACATTTGGGCATCCTGTGGTTTCTGAAAACAAGCCAAAGCACCTTTCATTCTTCTGTGCAGGCCTTTGCTTCAAACCCACGCTCTCTCTGAAACAGAGCTCAGGTGCTGCTGTAGTCAACTGGAATTCTGCCCCAGTTCATCCCAGTTTAGGTACCACAGGGCAGCAGGTGAGATCTGGGCAGTCCTCAGTGAAACTCTGTGTCTCAAAGAATTCCAAACCAGGCACAGGATGCCTTAAAAAATTAACTTGGCCACTGATCTCCAGTAGCACTGAATTATTTTCCCTTACAATCCCCATAGCTGTTATTAAACTTATTACTCAGTTTAAAAGGAACAAGGGCAGAAGGGAGATCCCTAAAGGACAAAATATCTGATTACTTTGTTAAAAAAGAAAAAGGTTTTGGAGAGCTTTTGCACATAACTTGGCAGTTGCACCTCATGTATAATGGAACTGAGCAGTGGGAGAACCGCAGCTGCATCTCAGCCTGTTTCTTGAACAGTCTTGAAAAACAGGCATCCAGAGCTCCAGGAAGCACATGAAAAATCTCCAGACAGTTTTGAGAAAGCTTGAAGGAAAGGCACAGAGAGAGAACCACAGGCTCACCTTTCAAGCAGTAATCAAGTTCATAGAGCTCGCTGTCTTCTGCCTGCTGCTGCCAGAACACCAGGTAGTGCGTGATGTTCCCATTGGGCTCCGAGGGCGGCTTCCACTTCAGGATGATTTGGGACGAGGAGTTGGAAACAGATATCGGATCCAACGGGACCGACGGAACTGCGTGGGTGGGAAAAGAGACAGAGGTCACTGCCAGCGCTCTGCAAGAGAGCCACAGAGCACGGGACAGACAGAGGCAAGCTTCCACTGCCACAGGGACGGGCGCTGCTCCCCAGAGCAACCCACTGACACCCAATGGCGCCACAGCGGGACGCACCGACGCACACCAGCTCTTCCACGTGGCCACACAAGCACGATGGAAGGAGCACACGTTGGCTCCATCTCCCTACGCGGGGAACAGGCGCCCTTCTGCTCGTTGAGGAACTCCTCCCTCCCACAGCAGAGCAGCAACGGCAGCGGAAACTTTCAGGGGATACGGGACTATGGTGACCACCAGAGAGACAACTATTTAGGTCTGTTTTTCTTTTTCACTTGCAAGGCAACATGAACTGAATCCTACTGACCAGTAGCATTGGTCTGGACGTAGATGATTTCACTCTTTGCACCGTATGTTCTTCGCTCGTCTGAGAAGGTGACCAGTGTTTTCACGAACACGGCGTACTGGGTCCACGGCTTCAAGCCCCTCAGGAGCCAGCCTGGCTGGGCCTGGGCTTTGGGCTCATTTGACCGTGGGGGCGGGTCAACATCCACAACTGTCCAGCTGTTGGATCCGCAGGCGTCTTGGCCATCAAACTCGGTCACGTTTTGGTATGGACTTTAGAGAAAAGAAAAAAAAAAGAAAACCCTCAAATTCCCAGAATCTGAATTCAATCCCAATTCAATTTAAACCCCCAACATTTCTAAAGAAATCACTGAACAATCCTTTGCCCTTTAGAGAAAGTGTAACTATCTTTTTGTACAATTCTGAAAATGAAGCACAGGGAGCTTTGTAACCCAGGCTCCTAACAGCATCACAGAACCCAACAACTAAATCCAGACTGATTATTTTAAGCTTTATGAAAATCAGAAGCCAGACAATCACAGAAGCTGAACAGCTACGCCCACAGCAGGTCTAATATCTACTCTTCAATGCCAACTGCCCTTCGTGGAAGCCCAGCATGGCTACTATTTTGTAACCTAAGGGTGGATCACTTACGCTTCTTTGTAAAAAAGCATAAACCCCAGGAGATCACGGAAATCGGGAGGCCAGTACGGCTCCCACTTCAACAGGATCTTGTCGTGAGAAGTTCTAATGGAAGAAAATTTCAGTAATTCATTTTCACCTGTAACAAAAGAGAAGCAACAACAATTTTGTTAATGCTAAAAAATAAAGTTTTTATTTTTAATTACCTTAGAGATTTTTTTTCTCCACAGATAAGTACGAGAACATATTTACATTAAAACTTTATCTTACTCAGAAGCTATTCCTGCCCTACGCCAGGGCTTGGAATCGATGACCTCCTGAGGTTCCTGCCTGTTCTCTTGTTTTACGAAAATGACCCTGTCAAGGAGCTGAACTAAATTCTCCTAAGTGGGAAACACATTTTAAAATTCCTGATGATTTACACAGCTGAGCCCAGTCACACGGTTTGCAGGGAAGGCAGAGGCTACAAAAGCGACGTGCGTGAACCCCCGGCCTCGCCTGCGGGTAGCGGGGTCCCTCTGCAAGGCGGAGGGAAGGACGACGCACAGGAGGTGGAGTCTGGAGGCTCGGGGGACACGTTACGATACCGTACGTCCGAGCAGCCCAATAAGGGCAAACTGCAGCTCTGACTGGATCTGCCATTCCTGCAGTAGCTGCGCAAGGGAGGGAGAACATTAATTTCACTGGCACCACATCCAGAACAAAGAAGGGCTTTTTTTTTTTTTTCCTTGGCCTATTTATTTATTTATTTTTATTTTTGGTAAACAGGATGCTGCCAATGTGAAAACTGGACTTGAAATGTAAAAACAAACAGAAAGCCAAGCACACTGGCACCCTGTGGTTGAAGGTGGGGGGTGGCACGGAGAACAGCTCAGCAGAGGGCAGCTAAAGCTGGCGAAGAGAAACGCAATCGTCTCCTCCAGCTGCCCTGAAACAAAGCACCCAGCCAGCCCGGGAGCTGCGCACAACCCCACGACCCAGCTGGGCTCACACCCCAAATCCAGTGTCATTCCCAAACGGAGGACGAGCTCGCTAGTGGCTCACGGGAGGCGGTGACCTTGTGGGGCAGCTAATTCCTCGTGCCTCCTTCCCTCTGCCCAGGCTAGAGCGGGCACGGCCCTGAGGTTACGGCTCTGGGCAGGTTTTCTCCCCAGTCCCACCAGTTTCTAGGCAGGGAGTCGTTACGTTCCCTACTCCCCACTGCGCCGGCACGGCTGCACGTGCTGATACGGGGAATCAGGAAACTGATTCAGCTGAAAGATCTTCACTTTTAACTCTGTTCACAAAGAGCTAAGTCGGCGTAACGAGGGCAGAATCGGACAAACAGGCAACCACGGCACGATCCAGGCTGCTCTGCAAGAGGAACTGAAATGCAAGGAACTAAAAACATACCTTAACGCTGGGGGGTTTGGTGGCAATACCTGCTTACGCATCTAAGGCGTAAATCTTTGTTTGTGGAGCCAGACAACAAACCGGAGCAGAGAGAGGACACAACCCCAGAACAACAAAGCAGAAGCGGGTTTGCTATTTTTTACCGCATCTGACTTTGACGGTCTGGTTCACCCTACGCCCCTAGAAGAGTTTTACTGGCACCAACAGGGAGAGCGGATTGCGCGTGGCACAGAACGGGGAAAAAACCCAGCAGGGTTGGGGGTGCCCAAGGGATGTCCTTGCGGCAGCACCGCTGCCAAAATCGGTGTCTGCAAAGCTACGTCTTCAGTAGCACAACTGTAGTTAGAGCATAAAGCAACGCTGTTTGTTCTTTAGCCACGCTGACCCCCTCTGATTGCTGCTCCTGAAGAAAGGTGGTAGCTTAAAAAGCTCCGAGAAACACAACAAAAATCGTTGGAAAAATTTCTGACTGTTGTCATAGCAATTTCCTCACATGGCTCCAGAGATGGGTGGAAATCCTGTTTCTCTGCTGTGTTTATTCTGCGCGCCTACTGTCGCCTCATGACATGGGAAAAGAAGATTACGACTATTAATCAGGTACTCAGCGGTAACACAAAGTCCCCGGCTGGACCAAGGTTACGCTGCGCTAAACTCTTCAGAAAGACGCAACAATACCCTCAACCCTGAAAAACTCACAGCTGAGCACACAAAGAGCAAACTTCACAAGAGCAAAGCCAGCAAGGGAGGCTCCTGGCCAGATGGAGAACCTGCAAGTATTTTACTCGTGGTTTACTGACAGTGTCGCTGCTGCGCACCAGCATGTGGGAAGCCTACCAAACTGGTGCTCAACCGAAAGGACAAGGACAGGCCCAGGAACAACAGCCCAGGCTAGGCGGGGAGAAATAAGAGCGTGAGGTTAGCGAGCAGAGGAAAAGTAGAACGAGGCAAGTCTCGCCGCACTCTGAGGCTTTCTTACATGAGGCTTGATCACCGTTCGTCTTCAGGGCTATGTCGTTCCTCTCCTGACGCCCCTTGGTCCCAGAGATCTCCTCCATCTTGTGGATCTCCGACAAACACAGTTTGGGATTATAATGGAAGAAGAGTTTGCCTCGTGCAATAGTGAGGTTGTGTTTACTCCAGTCCCAGAGCTGGCGCAGATTCTGGTTGTCCAGGGCATAAAATGAATAATTCCTGAAAGCAGAGAACGAAATTGTGCATTGACGGGGGGAAAATACACTGAAAACTCTTTTTCTCAGGCACTATTCCAGGGACCAAAGCAAAACGAATGCAAATATCTTCCCTGGTAGGCCACAGGCAGAAGAACATTTAAAAATAACCTAGGAATTGTTTACCAATACAAATCACCCTGATAACACCGGCACTCCTTACATTTCAAAGCATTACAATAAAGTATCTTTTGAAAGAACTCACCCAGCCTCTAGTGTTTCTCCTCTAATCAGATGTAGTTTACGAAAAAAAGAAAGAGAAACCAAGGCATAAGACCGGCGAATTTTTAGGTAACCTGAGATTTCTTCTATCAAGCCAAGATTCGCTTCTAGCTCGGCTGCTATATTATCTACGGAAAGGAAAACATTGGTTTTAATATTCTGATACCACAGACACAAACACTGATACCAGAGCCCAAACACATGACATAGAACTGCTGTGACATTAATTCCCAAGGCTTGAGAAAAATCAGTTAGCAAGAAACCCCAAGTGACCGTCACGAGAGCCTTTGTCTGAGGGTATTTTTCTGAATCACTCTAAGACCGAGAGTGGTCAAAGCAAGAGAGAAACGCTCCCGGACAGTGTCACATTCACTGCTCTGGCACCCGGTGCTCCCTGCCCCCTCCCTCATGCAGAACTTACTTCCTCCACGGATATTTATAACCAAGCTTCCATTAACAACTGTGCAGCCCCGAAGCTCCTGGGCCGATGTCACCGAATCGATCGTCTTCTCCTTCCCGTAGTCGCAAACCTTCGGGCAGGGCCCCGCGCAGGGCGTGCAGTGCAGGCTGCAAAACAAGAGACAGGACGGGTTTTGTCATCTGGGGCATCCGCAGCGATTCTCAAAAGCAAAGTAATCGATTCAAAGCGACGGTGTCCTGGCAACAAGCCACGGGATTCACATGCAGGGCGCAGCACGTGGCTCTTAGGAATTCCAAATAACTGCTGAGAGTTCTTTAAATTGGCATTTCCCCACTGGAAACGCTCGTTGTTCTGTCCCCTCCTACAGAACACAAACCTGAATGAAGGGATTTTGACTGTTCTGAACAGCCCATTCGCTGCTCCCTGCTCTACACACCAGGGGCTTCGAGATCACGAAACCCAGGCCCTGCCTCCCTCCCCAGATCGTTAACCCAACGTGTAACTGATAAGCGGAGAGCTGGTCGTTCATCTGGGAATCCTCCGATGAAGGGCTGTACATAAAGTTGCTTTAAAAAAAGGCAAGCGTGTGCTTTGTGCTCTGGGGAAATACTTCTCAAATGGCAGCGAGCTGACTGCTTGCCCTGGTCATAACACCCCAAGAACATGTTCCCAACTACTGCAGAGAAAGAAACGCTTTAGAAAAAGTACAGAGTAGTGCCGTGAGGGCCTAGAGCAGCCTGGAGAGAAGCAACGTGGGCTGTTACACAAGTAGCACACCTACTCTGGAGGCTGCTAGGTCATTCTTTTGAAAAGCAAAACAGGAAATAAAATGAAAAGAGCAAATTCCCTGAAATTATTACGGCAGGAGCGAATACATGCGAGCGCAGAGCTACCAACGTTCATAGGAAATCTGACTCATCACAATATATAATGTTATTGTAGGACAAACAACAAAGTTTTCAGTGATAAACAGCCCAGCAACATAAATTAATTCCTTTGTCGAAAAACCCTGGGAAGAGGCAGAATGGCTGTTCCCTGCTCCCATTCTTGCTACGCTTGTTTGTTACATTGTCCATTTACGTCTGGCACAGCTTGAACCTGCTCAGTGCCAGTAATTACAGGGATGAGGGACAGATATTCCGAGAATGATCCACTCTAACTACACCCCGCTCTGCTCATTAGACCCTACTTCTCCCTGTCCTGCTTAATGGCAAGGCTTTCGAGTCTGAGGCCTGCTTTGGAGGGGGAGGGAAGCAGGGCTGCGACAGCCTCTCCGCGGCCCAGCTCCCTCGTCCCACGCGATTACAGAAAGACCCTTCCCGCTTGGGGATGCTCCTCTTCCTTGTCTTCTCTCTCACTCTCCCACTTTTTCCGAACTTGAGAGGGAACAAGGGAAACCAAGGGAGGAATAAACTACCGCGCACGGTAGGTCAACCTGTCTGCTTTTAATGGCTCCAATTAGCAAGGTATTAGTTTGCAAATCATATTAAAGTGGACCAGGTAATTGTCACAGACACTCCAACGCCGGAAACTCTTCTTGCTCTTGACACAGAACACAAACCCTGTGTCCAAGCGAGAGAGAAGCACGGCACAAACACCGCAGGACGATTCCTTCACCTGCAGACACTTGTACTCACTTGCTGGAATTCATGATGTACCCCGATGGGCATTCGTGAACACACTCGTTGTTGTGGATGACGTGACAGCCCGACTCCCTGGCGTTTTTGCACTTGTTGTGCAGTTCCTGGCAGAAGCTGAAGGTCACGCAACGCCATCCCTCGAAGCGATAGTAACCGGGGGGGCAGGTGTCCACACATTTGCCTTCCAGGTAGAAGTTGCGGCAAGCCACGCATCTCTCGGGGTTGTTCGGCTCCGTGCAGTCCCCAAGACATTCGCTGTGACAGCACTGACCGTCAGAGGTGCAGCCCTGGGACTTGCAGGCAGGTGGGCAAACTGTGAAGAGAAAAGATAAAAGGCAGCTGAGGCCACAGGACAACCCAACAACGGATGACCATGAAAGGCTTTTGAGCAACCACGCTTCACCCTGCCTGGCCTGGCGACTCCCTTCTCCAAGCAGCATCTGGGAAGCGCAGACGTCTGCCTCGTCTCTGCTTTTCCTTGTACACTGCAAATTTTAATAACACTTTGGAAGACTGTTGCTAGTCACCCTCCCACCTCATTAATGCTTATCTTCCAAAACAGAAAACTAAATTTTCCTCTTCTCTCCGTTCAGTAGCACAAAGCTCCAGGAGAGCTTTGGTGACTCCAACATTACTCTGAAGCCCAGAAGTGACGAGACCACAGCACGGGCTTCCCAGCCTGGGACAGCTCGTTTCAGCCAGAAGATTCTGGTTCCTTAGTTTAAGAAACAAAGCTTCCCCCAGCAATGCCGCAAATAACGCGCGTCCAACAAGACTTTTACATAACCCTTCGGCTTTATCAGGATTCGCTTCCTAGCTGTCCATCAACCTGTCACCGGTTTCCCCGGAGAACGCTGCTGCCCTGGCGCCCAGCACGAGCTCCTCGGTGACTCTCCCAGCAGAAGGACACCCACGAGTGTTATTGCTTGAGGTTTTTATGGTTTACTTTTTAATTACCCATTACTTAGCGCCTGACAATACTTTTAATGAGCGGTTTGGGCTTTGAAATAGAAACCAAGGAGCGGCACAGCTCCGAGCGAACACCATGACTAACGCTGAGCGCGGAGCTGGAGGGGAGGGCAGAGAAGCTCTGAAGGGAAGGACAGTCCTGCTGCCCAGCACCTTCACTCAGGGTCCTAATGGTTCAAACGAGGCTGAACCAATTAAACCCAACTGCTTAACCCAGAACTTTGAGTCACAAAAGACACAATAAAGCAGAAATCACTGCTAGAAGAGCGAGCGCCGCAGCCCGGTACGGCTTTGACACAGCCATTTAAACAGCACAAGGAAGAACTTTAGAGGCGGGACGGGGGACGGGGGCTTGGATTTCTGCGCATGGTGACAAACAGCCTTTGGGCCGCAGCTCCGAACCGTCAAGACGCAGAACAAGACATCCCCTCCTTCTCACCAAACAGGAGGGTTTTGTCTGCGGGCACATCCAAACGGGACCTCGTGTCCTGCCCGAGCACCCTCGGTGAAGGAAGGCGAGAGCTCAGTCCTGCTGGGATCCACGCTGGTCAGACGGAGTAACTTCCCACTGATTTAACACCATCTGCCTCCACACTGCCCAAGCTTTCTTGTCCAATATTCAGTGTTGAAGCAGGAGGGGCTTTATGTGGGGAAGTCCCAGACACAGGGGCAACAACGTTAATTTTGATTTCTGGCTAAGCAGATCGATAGCGCAACACGGTCTAGTTGTATTCAAATAAATAAGCAGCATGTAGCACAGCATGTGGTACCGATGTCCTGACAATGCAATCCTCAGCTGTGGTTAGGCAGAAAATCCGCCTCCGCCGCGCTCCGCCCCACGTTAAAGGATTGCAGAATTAAGTGCATTAAGCAGTTAATGCCATTCTTGGAATAAGCAGTGGTAGCTGCAGTAGATGGGATAGTAAAGATGAGCAACCTCGGGTTTCTTACAGCCTGATAAATCCTTTGAAAAAATAAGAAATATTTCCCTCCCGCTGGGAAGCGAGCTGCTTCGGCAAACGTACGCGGGAACAGTTGGTGCGAGCTGGGAGCACAAGTAACGGCGTTCACCAGTAGCGCTTCCCACAAAAGGTATTTTCCCAGGGTCTATTTCATGCTTAAGAACTAGAAAGTTTAAAATATTCAAAAGACAACATTTGTTCCTCAAGGAGTCAGTAGAAGCAAGACAGGGCCCTCGTGCAAAACACCCAGCGACACACGGCACCTATTTAACGTTATGTCACACAGTTATTTTTTTTCAATTTGTTATGGAAACTAATCTTCAAAGTCCTGTGCTTGTTTACACATCTCGCACTCAGCTGCAAGTATTCACAGGGCAGAAACCGTTCTAATTCTAAAGGTTTTTAGAAGATACAATTAAACTATTTTAAAACTGTTCTTAACGTCTCTCTTTTTCCTGTTCTACGAGCTTTTGATGTCTAAGAGACCGCTCGAAGAAAGCAAAGCAGATAAGGCAACAGCTTTTTTTCCATTAAGCACTCAAGACCAGAAATTGTTGATCGCTATTTTGTGCAAATCCTCATTAGACAAGATGTTGAAGAGATGTCGCCTTGACATCAGCAGAGCACATGAGCTACGAAGCGCCTGGAAGTCAGGGAGAAACCTCTCCAGCAAATCTTCACCGCCTTTTTTTATTCCCTTATAATCACTACTACAGCACGCAGGCGATGTGCCTCCAGATGGGTCGGATGGGATTTGTTTTGTTTGTTGTTTTTCCTGCGATGTTACGCTTTCCCTGCGGGACAACACCAAACAGGTTTGTGCTGGCCAAGCGAACCTCATCACCCCCTGGCCACGGAGGTTTGCAGCCTCCTGCAGTTATCATTCCCCAGCAGATTCGCCTCCGGGCAACGGGCTCGCGCTTTGGGGAGCCGGTCCCAACCGAGGAGGCGTAAGGTAGGCTCAGACACACGTTCGGTCGATGCTGCAGGACTGCTGGGTAACGCGGTCCCCAGGCAGAAGAGGAGAAAGTCAAAAGGGAACTTCATAAATCTTGGAGACAAGGGAACAGCTACTGTGGATGTAGGGGCAGAAGCCGCCACCCTGTACCAGAAAAGCTGCTGCAGGAAAAAGGGCTTCGGCACCAGAGCCAAGCTGCTCACCAGAGCCACGAAACCTCTTCATCAGTTCTCTAAGAACAGGACTCCTGACGCAGACAGACAGTGAAACGCTTAAATTATCTGCCCTGGCTGGGGGAGAAAGACACAGAGGTTCAAACCTGTTGTTCCAGGGGTGAATAAATATTTAACTAGTTAGCTAGAGTGGCTCCAAAGACTTAGGAAACAATGCATTTTACAAAGCTTTCTGATTAGAGATTCAAACTGACATTTCTTCATGCTGCTTGAGGCCCAGCTTTGGGGGACAAAAGGCAGCAGGAGTCAGCGCAAAGGAATTTCTACCTCTGTGGATCGCTCCTGTTTCGCCACTTTCCTGTGCTTCAGGTGGAAACAAAACACACCGATCCCATAAACATATTCCCGAGCCAACGCAGGTAACCGGGAGATCCGTATTTAACAGTCAAGTCCATTAAGCACTAAGCTGTTTGTCTGAATGTTGAAGTGTGGTTAAAAATATTGGCGTTAGGTCTTGTTTCTTGCTTTCTGCTAACGAAACGGCAGCAGTGAATGGTCAGGAAAACATGAAAAAAAAGAAAGATACAAAATCACTCTGCGTTCTGCTGTTCCTTTGGGATTAAACAGCAATTAAATGCTGGTCCCACGGGTTTAAATAGCGACGTCCCGGGTGTGCAGAACTAAGTATTCAAGGGGATGGTGGTTCGAGTGGGATAAGAGGCACCCGGCTCATTAAGAAGAAATTTTAAAGCACACGTATGAACATCAAGACCCTGCACATGTACCACACAGGGACAGACATTCCCACATAGTTTTGGGACCGATTTGTCATGAATCGACGTGATCTTTCTACCGTGCAATAAGCAGCCCCATCTGTGTGAACGTGGGGCAGCCGGGGCCACCGCGAGTCCCCTTGGCCGGCCGGGGCCACCACACGAGCGAGGAGCCAACTCGCCTCATAGCGCCGAGTCCTCTTTCCCGAATTACACGAGCTGTGTTTTGATTACAGCCGAGGCAATTAAGAGGCTCCAGATCCAACCGAGTCCAGGACAGAAAACAACTGTGGCAGGAGAACCGCCCTCGACCTCAGCCAATGCATTTGCTGCCTGTGCAGGGAGGCATCCAACCCTCCGCTATCTGCACAAGGCAAACACGCCTTAACCCCTTGCCAGCCGCCCCGAAACGGGCTCCCTCGCCAGCCCTCGCCTCCCACCTTCTCTGCCCAATTAAACCAGCAATTTAACCAGCTATTGCAGGAGCAGGCTTTTTTTTTTTCTTTCTTTCTCACGGCGAGCGTTTAATTCGCGAGGTGTATTTATAACCAGGAGAAAAACGCAAGAGGAAGCCAGTAGGAGCATGGCATCGACACAGCTTCCCGGCCAGCCCTTGCCTCCCATCTTCTCTGCCCAATTAAACCAGCAATTTAAGCAGCTATTGCAGGAGCAGGCTTTTTTTTTCTTTCTTTCTCACAGCGAGCGTTTAATTCGCGAGGTGTATTTATAACCAGGAGAAAAACGCAAGAGGAAGCCAGTAGGAGCATGGCATCGACACAGCTTAAAATGGCTTGTTTTGGCCGCGATACGCCCCGCTCGGTGCCAGCGCTGAGGTTCGTGTAACATTAGATGACGTGCACACGCATAGAATTCAAAGCCAGAGCCCCACAGAAACAGTATCGGAGAGCTCGGCGTTTCCCTGTTTGCTTTTTTTCTTACTGTAAACGGCTGCGCTATCTGTCATGAATTTATGCAGGAACAGTCTTGCACGCACACACAATCATACTTGAGTTACAGCTGCAGCGGGAACTGTAATTTAATTTCCTAACTGTACAGTCGTGATAATGACCTCTGTAGGAATGGGTTCTTGTGGTTCGAAACAAAAGCAAAACCAACAAGGAAAGAAAAGGAAACCCAACGACTAATCGCCCACGGCAGCAACTCCTCTGAGCGTGTGTTGCAAGCATGTGATCTTAATTTAGCACTACGGGCTTTGCGCTTGCTTTCTGAATTTCTGCAAGTGCTGCGCGGCACCCCTGCTACTGAAATCCATACGAACCTCTTCTCCTTATAAAATGACGCGTTGAATCACTTTATACACACGTAGCATGTTGTACTTGATCGCTTTTCCTCAAGATCAACTCATTCTCCTCCTGTCACAAAACTCCAAATTCAGCAAGTCCTCAGGCAGTGTTTGTTACATAATTCTGTAACACATTTCTTATTCAGAAAAGAATTTTAATTTTTTATTTTCTTTT